TCGCCTGGTGCCATTCTGGGATGATTGGATGCCCACTCCCTGATGGGATACATGCTGCCACCCCAGCAGATTTAATCCTGCAGGCTTAGCCCAAGCAGAATTAACACCGCCACTAATCACATTGGCAATATTAGTGCTCTCATGTGTGAAGCAACCTGAACCAGGTCACTGCCAGCACGCAGGCAGCTGGGCCCCTCGGCAGAGGGTTAACCAGCCATGGCGGGAGGACTGGGTAGCAATTAGTATTTTTCCTTCGTGCTTAGAGAGGGATTTTCGCATTAAAGGGGGAAAAGCTGCAGCAGATCAGATTTAAATCCAAAATCCAGCCACGTTTTCCCCCCGCTTTGCAGAATTAGCAAAGCGCAGCACGCCAAATGAGCAGGGAAAGCTCGTTTCTTCCCACAGCCGAGTCGGACACTAGGCCAGGGCAGGACAAGCGTCTGAGGTTACCGAGTCTCTGCAGGGCGGGGTGAAGAGACGGCTGCGTGGAGGGAGAAGTGTTTGCACACATGGGTACAGCCACAACGCGGGGAGAGCGCAGGGCAGGAGCGACACTCCTCCAGCAACGGCTGGCTCCATGCATGCCAGCCACGGGGCCCCGCTCCCGTTTGGGGCATCCAAACCTCACCGTGAAGTGACTGCCTCACTGCCTCTGGCTTGGGAGGATGATGGTTTCCTGAAAGCCCAGACTATGACTTGGACTCGCTACCAGCTGCTGAGGCGAGCTGGCAGTGCCACTTATCCTGCACCCTCCTGCTGTAGTGCAAGGGCAAAACCTGCTGAGGGATGTGGTTTCCAGCAAGAGACACCCAGAGGAGGCCCCCACAGATCTTGCAAACCAGTGAAGGGACACTGGGAGGGGAGGGACAAGCTGTGCACAGCTGGGAAAGGAATCCTGCCCTTTCTCCTCGCAGTCTAAGACCAGTCTGCCTTGCAGGGCCACCACCAGCAGGCCACTGCCCTTCCAGGCAGGGAAATGAGAACATCAGGGGACACAGCCCAGCCCAGAGCAGGAGGGAAGCAGTAAGAGCCTTTGGGAAGGCCACAGAAGGGGGACCGGCAGCCCAGCCCCTGCAGCCCTATGCACAAGACCCATCCCTGCAGCGTAGCTGGCCGGGATGCTCCCTATGGCACCCCAGAGCAGCCCACGTAGCCCTGGGTAGGGCCCCTGGACTCGTGGGACCACAGCCTGGGGTCAGCGCTGAGAGACCAGGCTTGGCCAGACATCACCCAGCTGCCCATCAGAAGCGAGGGGCCGGGGGCAGCGAGACAGAGCTGGCTCCCTGGGGCGGGGGTGCCGGGTGTTTCTCTGCAGGGCTAACCCATTCCTTGCCTCTCGGACAAGCAGCTGCACTTCGCCTCCATCCGGGGCCGCGCCGCGCACTGACGCCACTTCCCCACTGCTCAGCGCCTTGGCCCCAGCGTTCTCGGCCAGCAGCCAGCGCAGCGTGGCACAGCTCAGCGGGACGCCTGGGGACGAGAGGAAAGAAAGCGGAGCTCGTTACGCCACCGAATGCCCTCCTCCG